GGGAAATTTACTTAGTCATGTCCATGGCAAAGTGTTGGCTGCACACTATACAGGAGTTGCAGCTTCTCCACTGATTCATTTGTGCTCTCAACCAATAGTCTCTGCCATACAACATAGACATTGGAGCTAATCCTAATCACCATTCACTGAATTTTAACCTTGACTGGGTGGATTGTTGACATTAATGAGAAGCTTTTGGTTTTTTCCACTGGTGATCACAGGGTTTTTATGATATATAATATATCCACCAAGTATCTCAGATTAGGTTGGATTCTTACTCTAAATTCTGTGTTTTTCAGAAAGAGTAGTATATATTCCTGCATTTTTGAGTTTTAATAGTTCTGACAAAGAACTCTTAATTACTGTAAGTATTTTTCATAGAATCTTATTGAGAGTCTTCAAGGTATTGTCTTGCCAACCTGAAGGCTTTCTCTGATGAGGTGGGTGACTCTGGGGCAAGGGGAGAGAAGTGAATGTTGTTTATTGTTGGGCCATGTGAAAAATTAATATTTTAGTACTGTTTTTCAAGCAGTTTTTGGTTTTAGATGGTGTTTACTTTTCCTACCACTCAAGGGCCATTACTGAGCAGAAACAGAAAATGAAGCGTCTTGGGTCAGACCTGACGAGTGCTCAGAAGGAGATGAAAGCCAAACACAAAGCCTATGAGAATGCAGTCAGCATTCTCAGTCGGAGGCTACAGGAGTCTCTTACTGCTAAGGAAACTGCTGAAGCAGAGCTGAGCAAACTAAAAGCACAAATTACTGATGGTGGAAACGACCAGATTGCTCAGGTATGCAGATGTCTTTTGACACTGTACAAAGAGCGAGCTATCTTGTTATTAAATAGAAGTCTTGAAATATTATTTTACCCTGCAGTGATGAAAATACTTGGAATATAAAGCTAGATATGGCCATGCTATCAGTGTTCTGAGCACTGAGAATTGCTTTAGCTACATTTGAAAGGGGTGATTTGGCAGGCTTGGTTGGTGGGGTAGTTTCTTATTTTGTTTATATCCTTCAGATTACCAATTGTTGTCCAAGATCAAGAGGATTTCGTGATTAATTTTTATTGTTGGTTTGGTTTTGTTTTGGTTTTGGGGGGTTTTTTGAGGTGTTTCTTTGGGGTTTTTTGTGGGTTTTTTTTTGTGTGTGGTTTTTTTTTTTTTTTGGGTTTTTTTTTTGGTTTGGGTTTTTTTTTTTTTTTTGTTGTTGTTGTTGTTTTGTTGGTTTTTTGTGGGTTTTTTTTTGTGTGTGGTTTTTTTTTTTTTGGAAGGTTCAGTATCTGAAGATTTTCCAAGATTCTAACTCTTCCTGCTTTTTTCTCATTGACAGTTAAAAGTTTTTCAATGTGACCATAACTTATTCATGTATGTTATGCCTGTGATAAGGGAATTAGTTTACGGGATAAGCTCCCAAGTCCTTGGACCAATGGAACAAGATCTCAAATAACTAACAGCAGTAGCTGGATGCAAGGGTGAAAAACTGAGCAAGACCTTGAAATTAAACACTAGCACCTCATTTTCTGTTTGCTAGAGAAGTAGACTTTTTAACCAAAGCAAAAATGACTCCTGTTTGTGTGTGATACACTAATCACATGTGTGATCCCTCTGTCTTTAGGAAAAGATTCAAGCTCTGAAGACAGAACTGCGAGCTGTGAGCAGCAGTAAGTTGATGCTGGAGAAAGAGTTGCAAGAAGTGATTTCACTTACCAGCCAGGAGCTTGAAGAGTACAGAGAGAAAGTTCTGGAACTTGAGGACGAGGTGATTGCTTGAATTTGCTTGGTAGATGGGCATATGACAATAAAAAGTGCCTGAAAGACAGGGAGCAATTTTAGTACCGTGATTTCGTTCCAGCAGTGCAGGAAATCAGAATCTTAGATAGGAAACATTGTGTCAGTGATGCTTGCAAATTTTGCTGCCTTGTGCTGGTTCTTCATGGTTTCATTAGTCATTGCCATATAGGGAAGAAGATGAGAAAGAAAAGTAGTTCCTGTATTAGACATCAGCTGTGTCTGGTCATGAGGTGGTAAGGATGCATGAATCATCAGCTTTTGGAACTCCTTCGTATCTTGGATCCCCAGTGATTCTGAGGGCAGGGTGGTAGTGTTCAATTGTAGAGTTGCACAGAACATATATCAGGTACTCTTGATCTGCACCTGAAAAATACCCCTGGATTCTGCTTTCTAGCAAGTATTGTAGTCTTCCAGCATGAAAACATACCAAAGTGAGCTTATTTTTTAATGTTTATTTAAAAAAACATATAAAAAAGAAAAGGAAATCCCACTCTGGAAAAGCAAGACCTTTAATGAGTTTAGCCCACAACATTTTTGTGGCAGCAGTCTGGAGATGTGAGGTTTTATTTGATTTGTGGGGTTTTTTTGACTACAGCTTCAGGAATCTAGAGGCTTCAGGAAGAAAATAAAACGCTTAGAAGAAATGAATAAGAAGTTGGCCCTTGAACTGGAGCATGAACGTGGGAAACTTACAGGCCTCAGTCAGTCCAACGCTGCTTTGCGGGAGCACAATAATATCCTTGAAACAGCATTAGCAAAAAGAGAGGCAGATTTGGTACAACTGAACCTACAGGTATTTGACTTTTTGATGTAACAGCTTAAGAGAGGAATTAGGTCATATTTCTGATAACAGGATCTGGACATCTTCACGCATACAATAGAATTGAGATGGTGAGACACTGGCACAGGTTGCCCAGGGATGTGGTGGCTGCCCTGACCCTGATGGTGTTCAAGGCCAGACTGGATGAAGCTTTGAGCAGCCTCGTTTAGCAAGGTGTCCCTGCCCAGGGCAGGGGGGTGGGACTAGATGATCTGTAAGGTCCATTCCAACCTCTAAATTCTATGATTCTATGATTAAAGTTGGTGCATTTTCTCTGGCTCTGGGTCCCCCATGTGTTGTGTGAACAACAACAATATGTGTGGCTAAACAAGAGACCAGAAATGTGACTTTGTACTAAAACTGTTTCTTTAAAAAAAATTAAACAAAATTGCACTACAATATTTGCAGTAATGAAATTGTGGCTTACTTAAGCTAGTTGGGACGTAAAAACTGTTAAATACAGATTCATTGGGATGAACAGGTTTTATGCCAGTAGTAATACATTCATGGGGTGTAAGCAAATGGGAAAAGCAATGAGCTGCCATTTAACCATGGCTGCTTTAAGGCTGAAGGGTACCACGGGGAAAAAAGTGATCAGTTTTGTGATGTGCTGCAGGTTCAGGCAGTCCTAAAGCGGAAAGAAGAAGAGGATCAGCAAATGCAACAACTTATTCAAGCTTTACAGGCTTCCTTAGAGAAAGAAAAGTTAAAAGTCAAAAGCCTTCAGAAGCAGGTAATGGCTCACCTTTTGTTTTAGTTACTTAAGAAGTGATTTGAATGTAAAGCATGTTTAAAAGTATCTTGAAATAAACCTAGTGCTTCCTGCAGGGTCTCTGTCATGAGATCAAAAGACCAAAAGATCAGTTTGTTTTTCTGTTGTGCCCTGTGTTACGCATACTAATTGACTACCCAGAAAGTTCCATGACTTGTAATGCATCTTGAAGTGATGATACTTCATCTAAAACTTTGCTCTGAAGAAGCATTTTGGCAAACATGCTGCTTCTATTATAATTATATATAGTTATTAATCACCATTAGCAGTAATAAGGAGAGCAACACTAAGTTTTTTTAGACAAAATGAGAGGAGTTAACAGCTGCACAACTTCCTCCTTGATTCATTTTGCACTGCTTTAGTCTAGCTGCCTGTATGATTCATCTACAGTGATAAAACAAAGAAAAACTGCATCTTTTTTTCTCCTGGTAGGAAGCAGCAGCCAAAGCAGATGCAGCACATAACCGCAGACACCACAGAGCAGCAATGCTTGAGCTCAGTGAAATCAAGAAGGAGCTACATGCCAAAGAACTGCTTGTCCAGGCCCTGCAGGCTGAAGTGGACAAACTGCAGTAAGTAAATGGCTGAGATCTTAGAGAACAGTAATTCAAACAAATCCCCTGAAAAAGCCATACATTAATGAATTTTTGGGTTTCACCCTCTGGAGTGGATTCTGTTGAATGTTCCCCAGCTGAGCCTGACCATGAGATGCTAGTTTGGACTCTAGGCAAATACCTGCATTGTTCTCTCTTCATAATTCAGTTTGACCTGAAGTGCACTGCATTTAGGCTTCACCATCTGATTTATCTTCTACTTTCAACACAGATTTCTACTGTTTCACGCTACTAGTAAAGATTAACACTTCATATATATTCATATATATTCTCTCTTTCACATCCCTGAGGAATTACACAGAAGATTAATTTGATTGCTGACTATATTCCACAATATATTAAAATTAAATTTCTTTGCTTGTACAGAAGATGTTTTCTTAAATTATAAGACATTATCAGACCTACATGAGAATGTCTGTCAGGTTAAGCCTATTCCTGCTAACACAAAGCAGAATTGCTTGACAGGGTTTGGTTTTGCTTGTTTTGATTTGATTTGATTTTTTTTTCCTTACTGCGTAATCTGATGTCTGTAACTGGACTATTACCAGTTCTCCAGGATTTTAAAACAAAATCTCCCAATATTTAATGCCATATTTATACATCTTTTTCATGAAGTCTCCTTGTGATTTAACTCTTGCTATGAATGTGTTGGCAAAGCCTTCAGTCCAAGCTGTAACTGACCAAGTTCCATGCACTGTACTGTCATTTATAGTTACAGCTCTCCCCATGAAGTGCTTGTTTGAATGGACAGGTTGAGTAACTGCTGTGTCTGTTCATCCTGCTGTGTAGGGCGGAAGATGAAAAGCATTCCCAGGAGGTATCACGGTTTCAGGAAGAGCTGGCAGAAGCCAGGTCTCAGCTCCAGCTTCTGCAGAAAAACCTGGATGACAAGCTTAGTGAACAGCCTCTAGTAAGCCAAGAGGTAAAAAGTGAACACTTCCTGTCTTTATCCTTACTTTTACGTGGCATTGTATGACTTAGTATGTCTTTAATTCATCATGTTTAATGAAGTTTTGCTAGGTTTTCTTAGAACCAGGAAGGGTTCGTGAGACATAAGAATACATGTCAGATTTTGTGGTTGATTGTACCTGCAGATAATTCTAAAGATACTTCTTTTTTCTCTGCCCTGGTAGGTGGAAGACCTCAAGTGGGAAGTAGAACGGAAAGAAAGAGAAATTGAAACGCTTAAGCAGCAGTTAGACATGACTGAACAGCGTAACCACAAGGAAATAGAAGGGATGCAAGTTGTCTTGCAGGTATTTAATCTAGCCAGGGATGATTCTGATGGATTGGAATACTGATTGCTGTAGGAGAATAATTAAAACAATCTTTTGATTGTTTAAAAGCATATTTATACTGGCACCTTTTTCTAAATTTTTGTTCATTAAAACTTAGTAATGAAGTGTTTTGCAGTGTCTATACTTTCCCAAGTTTTATTTGACTGTGCTGTTAGTTTCTTATTTCTTCAACCTTATGTCATTAAAATGGGCTACTGACTTCTTAACCTAATCTCTGATTTTCTGCCAGGGCAAATTAATTTCAGTGTTGTGTGTTGTTTCTTCTTTATAGTTTCTCCTGGAAACCGAAAAAAAAAACCCAAACCTAACCCCAAACCAAAACATTAGTTGGCTGGAACTTCTATGCTGTTTCTCTACATCACATTCATTCTCTTCCCATTTAGAATATCAAGACTGAGTTGGAAATGGTGAGGGAAGACCTGTCAGCAACCCAGAAGGACAAGTTTATGCTGCAGGCTAAAGTGACTGAACTGAAGAACAGCATGAAGTCACTGCTGCAGCAGAACCAGCAACTGAAGTTGGACCTGAAGCATGGCAAGATGAAGAAGGTATTTAAATAGGAAGAACACGTGTTGCAGGGTACAGGAAAATACTCTGCTAATGCTCTTCAGTTACCTAACGTGAATGTGCCTGTGATTCCTGCTCTGTAATGCAGATATGCACCAGTGATGTGAGACTTTTCTAGGTGGTAAAAATTACATTCTGACTCTTTTTCCTTTAACCAGAGGAAGGAACTGAAAGGAGAGAATAACTCTTCCAATCCTGTGACTCCAGTCAAGATTCCTGATTGTCCAGTGCCTGCTGCCTTGCTGGAAGAACTCTTGAAACCATCAACAGCTGTGAGCAAGGAGCCTTTAAAAAATCTGAACAGCTGTCTCCGGCAATTAAAGTATGACCTGTTACTTTCAACCATATTACATAATCCTAAAAATGTTTCCCAGAAACCAGCTGCCAGCCTAAGGAGAAAAGGATTTATAAAATGAATTCTGTTCCTCTTTTTGGGACTCTATTTCAGCCACTAGGATGGTCTGTCATTGTAAGCCCTTATATGGCCATTACCATAGCAAAAGAAAACTTTAAACTAGACAAAATGTCCATCCTAAATTATATACAGCAGAAAAAACCAGAAACGGCTATTTCTAGTTCCTGCT